TGTAATTGTTCAAGGCCTGGATCCCAGCCTCGTCGAGGACATTCCGGAGGAGTGCTTCAATCTGACGCAAAAGCTGATTCATAGGAAGAGGGCCAGGACAACTGTGCAAGAGGACGGCGACGTCAGGACAGCATTCGCCTTTAATGTGCCTCAAGTGGAGGTCCATGAGCTCACAGATGAGGGCGAGCCAACGGGTGTGTTGGAGGTCGTCACTCGCTCTCCAAGAATCCGTGTATACGAGGAGCAGAGGGAAGAAGGGACGGTGCCGAACAGCTTCTTGTCAGAGATTAGGGGGCCTCTGCGTGAAGTCTGTGAAATCAAGGAGATAGGTGCGCAGAACGTGCATGGATGTCGACACGTATATTCACTGATGTTGCGTTTGCCTTCTGATCCAGACTCTACTGGCATTGCTGTCCAAATCCAATGCCTCCCTCGCGAGCCCTTCGAGGTGACCGCTGGCGAGCCTGGCCTGAGGCTTACAAGAGAGCAAATCGAGTAACACACGATTTAAAGGGAGAAGAAATCCACAGGGCCTTTACTGTGTTGATGTGTGTCTTCAAGTTCTATTGCCCAAGTTGTGACCAACGATGGCAGCACGCCCAGGCTCCAATCGCCGGCCGGCTACAGGCTCAACTGCTCATGCGACGACCTCGAGCGCATCAAGAATGAGACCAATGGCGGCGACGGGTTCATTGTGCGGACGGTTCCGTTGTTTGTCGACACTGGTGTTGAGGAAGAAGAGGTGGAGCAGCTCTGCCCTGTGCTTATCAGATGCGGTACGGCGGCAAGAGAGAAAGACAATGGGATGTCTCAATCGATTCGATTCGGTTTTCTCTATCAGAGCCGCCAACTGGGACAGACACGGCGGGCTGCGATGCGATTGATCATCCGTATTACTGAAGGCATGTGTCTGTGGATTGCAACCTCGGCCTGCTCTGCACTTCCAGTTTGCCCAGACAAATGCTAGGTATGTACTTGTTATGAGACGCGCTGCTGTGCTCTTTGTGCGTAATGTTTTTGTCGACAAGCCATGGACGTACTCATGAATTCTGGTCGACATGAGACACATTCATTCGTGAGATGCGTGTGAATCGGTATGGTACAATCAGCAATGAGCACACACTCCAAAGGTCAGCTCTGCCAGTGGGGCCAAGGAACGTCGCTGCTTCTCGTGCGCCTGCCTGTCTGTCTGTCTGTCTGTCTGTTTGCAGGTGGGACCTTCGTGTGGGCCAACAAGCACGTGTTCGACCCCTACCTGCGCGCCCACCTCCTCAGTGGCGTTTCCACACAGCCCATCGACATTGAGGAGCCCACCATCACCAAGCAGGTCGCTGACGATGAGGGAGAGGATCTGACCGAGGAGAAAGACGGGCAACAGGAGACAGATGGGGTGGAGCCGGCTCATGACGACGAGGCCGAGAATGGGGGTGTCGTGGAGCCTCTGCACGAGGGCGCTCTGACGCTGTCGGGCGTGCCGCAGGGAAAGCTCCAGGCCATCCTCTACCTCGAACAAAGCAGAGAGAGGAACAAAGTGAGAGCAAACAGACACGGACAAGCAAGCATGGCTTAGTACTTCTGCACTCTTCTCCCTTCCTTTGCCCTTCTCAGCCCCGCGAGGCCCCCAAGCCTCCCCCGAAGGCCCCCTTCTTCCTGCCCGCTCGCTACGAAGG